TTTGACTCGAGTTTGACTCGGTTTAGACTCGAATTCAAATTGATTCTTTTTTATATACTTTTATAATTCTATAATATCACTTTTAATTGCTCAAAAATCACATAATAAACATATAGGATTCTAAGCATACAAACTAAATTAATTAAAATAGAAATTTAATTAATAAGATTCTAAAACTATTTTGATAAATAAAAAATATCCATAAATTAGTATTTCTAAACAAATTCAACAATTCATGAATAATTTTGATATATAAATAATTTTCATGTCATAGTTTCATTTAAATCTATGTTTTAAACAATTAATAGATCATAAGTTTTATATTTTTTAATCTAAAAATAATAGAGCAATTGCCCTGAACAAGCCCTTAATGTTATGTTTTACTCGTAAAGATAATGTCTTTAAATCTTTAATGTAAAGATAATAGTAAGGATTGAAATATCGTACCATACCGAAGTTTCGATATTCGCTCGATATGATACGGTACTGTATACCGAGCGATATACTGTTCGATATATATATATATATATATATATATATATATATATATATATATATATAAGTAAAAAAATCTTATATATATTTATATATATATAAAAAGAATTTTTCGATGCCGAGGCGACGCGACATCGCCTTTTTCGGCAATGTTGCCGAGGCGACGCGACGTCGCCTTTTCCCGCTTGGGGAGAATGCGGCGTCGCATATTTATATAATATATATATTATAATATATATTATATATAATATATATATTATATATATGATACCGCTTGGTAGTGGTGGGTGGTCCGTGTACCGATCTACTGACAGACCGGTACGTATCGCCCGGTATGGGCGGTATTATTCGAAATTGTAATCCTTGGATAATAGCCATTAATTCGAAATTATATGTGAGATAATTCTTTTTATTTGTTTTTAATTGTTTATATGTATAAGTTACCACTCTTATATTTTGCATTAACACACATCCAAGTCCATGAATAGAAGCATTATTAAATACCACAAATCCTTCTCTGTGGGAATCAGGGAATCATTCAACCAATAATTCATGTCCTATTGTAATAATGCATCATCTAAATATCCGGTTAGCTAGTAAAGAATCTCTAGCCAGTGTGGCCATGACTATAGCATTAGTCATAGGTTATGAGTCTCTTTTTAACTTATCTGCAAAATATGGAGGTACAAAAGAGTACAAAGTACTCAGTTTAATCAAGACACTAGCATATATGCTGTAGAGAGTAAGCATAACTTGAAGTTATTGTCGTAGAAGCTTGTGCATCCCAATGGGTAAGTCCAAAGACTCAAGCTTGTTCTTCCCTTTGTCCAGGCTAAGTTGGTGCTGCTCCTTACTGTTGGTTTCAGGGGTGTTGGTTCCTAAGGGAACAATCTTTGGAAAGCATGCATGTTGTCCAATGGTGCAGTTTATGGACACAAGATCTGTCCTGCCACAAAAGTAACACCTCTTGATCAGATGATGCCCTTTGTTGTTGATTAGGTATTCATTGTTAACTTCTCCACAGCCATTGCCTTGTTGACGATTGCGATATAGGTGCAAAGCTCCATGAGCACAATACGGTCTTGGACAGATGGGGGTAGGCCAGCCTCAAAATGTCGGGCCTTCTACTCATCGTTGAAGATCATGTGTGGAGAAAATCAGGCCAGCTCAATGAAGTAAACTTTGTCCTCAGCTATTGTCCGATTCCCTTGATGAACATTAAGAACTCTCTTTTCTTTTGACGATGAAACCTTTCCGTAGTACTAATCATAAGATGCCTGCTTGAACCTTTCTCAAATAATCTAATTGCCGCCATCAATAAGATTCTCCTTTAGGTAGTCCACCAAGCATCGACCCTACCCACTAGAATGAAGGTAGCAAAGGAGACTTGCTCCTCAAAGGTTCAATGGTTCCATCAATCCTACAATATGTCACAAAAATTCATTAGTCAAGTCAGTCCTTGAATCCTAAAACTCAGAGGTCTTTAACTATGCTATGATATCATAAAAAGATATCACATCTCGTGCTAAAAATATTTTATTTTTCACACATGTACAGAATATGATATACTTTCCATATATAACATTTCGAACAATATATAAACAAACTAATTTTATTTAATTTAAATTTTAAATGTATCATAAATAAGGTGTAACATTAAGGAAAATGAAACCCTACTGGCTCATACCGAAACTGTAAAAACTAAAATCCTCCACATAATTACTTAAGGCTACACAATGACCCTCTCTATGTCAAAGTCAGTATTAAAATCTGAAAGTTGCTCTGAAAAAAAAAAGAAATCAACAACAAATCAACAAAGCTGAGTAGGAACTTCTTAAATGTCCTCTCAAAACATGTAACAAAATCAATAAAATATCATGAACGGATATCAATATGTCATAAATAATATCAAAATATCAAATCATAATTCAGTAACTAGTTTTAATAATATGATCAAGTTTAGGTCTCATGAACATATGGCATAAGTCAAATACCTGATCATGCACTATCCTAGTAGTTGATGGAGAGGTCTTGCCTCATAAATTGAGCTCTATGTTCTCCCATCCGCTTATGGAGAGAACCCATATCACTTTCTTAGCCATTGATGGAATGATGTCTCTTACTTGTCAAGCTACCATGCCTAACAACCTGCTAGATCCCTGAAGAGAATTGCCCTACCAGTATATTAGTCTTCTTGTCCATGGCAAGGTCAATAATTGCCCTCACATCATTTTGGGCACACATAACACCTCGTGACATATAAGTCTCAGGGTATAGTGCTACCATGTAACCTCATAAAAATGATTAATAATCATTCAAGATTAATAATATAAGGAGTCATATCCTAATTAACCATTAATTGACCTGAACCATAGTTGAATGAGTCAAATTGACTCGAATTGGACTCGATTCAATTAAAACGTAATTAAACCAACCTGAAGTCCCTCATAAAATTAGTCTGCAATCACTAGTCTAATTTGGACTTAGTTCCAATTTGGGTCAAATAGGCTTGAATCGCTTAAAATCAATCTAAAATCACCTTGAATAGGTCTGAACCGATCAAACCGATCAAATTAGGATTCAACTAGGCTCAACACAGTACTAGGACGACTCTGGCCTAGACTATTAGATCTAGGGTTGCGGCCAAATTTAGTCACGTGCCTACACATGATTGTCTTGGCAATAGGCTGGGCTATTGGTTGGGCCTTACGTTGAGTCGCATAGGACTAGGCTGCCTGCGTCAACCTACCAAGCCACATCGATCTTTGTGCTACCCTATTTGGCTCACTAGATTGCGTCAGGCCTTGAGTTGTAGGCTTCGAGCTTGAGCCTTAAATATAAATGTGTATTGCTAGGAACCATAGGGTATCGACATGATATGATTATGTTATCGGTGAATGAGTTGATACATTCTTAGAATAATAGACCCTCTATTATGGCATCGGTTGTCTTGTCGTTTTTTGATAGGAGCTGATAAATAACATTAGTTATACTGAATATCAGGATATAGGTAATATGCTACAAGATATGATTTGTATTGGTCAATTTAATATGTTACAAATATTATTCAAATTCTAAATAAAATCAAAATTTAATACACTTGCATTATGAATATCTTGCCCTATGTAGGCTGTACACTTACGATTGATGATTTGTATATACTTTTTTAACCTCACTTTTACTCGGATGGAGGAATAACTCAGGGTGGAGGAATAACTTGTTAAATGCTTTTTTAATCTTCTCGATCGAAATTAACATAATGTTAGGTAGCCCATATGCGGCCACTTCTCCAAATCGACTTTGTGGAGGACGACTTTAAGTGGCTCGATCGTTGTTATAATCCGAAAGACTGAATCCCAAATCTGGTCAGCATTGGTCCATTCTTGAGATATGAACATTGTAATTACTCCATGTGTCTTCTGTTGAAGGTCGGAGGATCTCTCTATTTGTGTAATACATCAAGGAATGTACCCATTGATGGTTGTAGATAAACATCATGATCGATTGCAAGGTCTTCAATTTCGAATGATATCGCTCGTACTGGGCAGTACGTACCGGTCTGCCATTGGTATACGGACCGCTCGCTACCGGACGGTATATATATATATATATATATATATATATATATATATAAAGGCGACGTTGCCCTACTTGGGGAGAAGAGAGGCGACGTCGCAGATTTTTTTTTTAATTATATATATATGTAAATATATGTATATATATGTATATATATATATATGTATATATGTATATGTATATGTATATGTATATGTATAAAGGTGACGTCGCCCCGCGTGGGGAGAAGAGAGGCGACATCGCAGATTTTATTTTTTTACTTATATATATATATATATATATATATATATATATATATATATATATATATATATATATATATATACCGAGCGGTATATCAAAATTGAAGACCTTGATACAGTACGATATTTCAAAACTCCGGTACAGTACGATATTTCAATCCTTAATCAATTGTGCCTTTGCCACTATCTTCTAACTAATGTAGTTCACCAATATTCTTTATTATGCACATAGAGTAAAAAAAAAACTCTTCATCAATTGCAAATCAGTCTTCTTGAAATTCGCTCTATTATTAGAATAATGCATATAATATACTGTAAGTCAATATCTTCTATGACTCTTTTATTGCAAGACTATCTTTCAATAACTTATCTTGAAAGACCACCCTTTTATTGCAATAAACTATGATGATGCTCTCATTCGGGATGGGTTGAGTTCAAGTATCATACATTAATATCAACCATGTAGGTCTCATTGCTTCTTGAAGGATTTTATCTAGTCTTTTGGTTCTATCACCTCCTTATCTAAATACATGCCATGTATCTTCTCAGGCTTAGGAGGTTGGATGCTCATTCTGGTAATATGGACCTTGTGCTATATGCATTAGAATCCTATAGAAGTTAAACCACTTGATAATGACCTTGCTAATATCCCATTTTTTTCCCTTTGTATACACCATTAATCTTTGTCTGTTTGGTTGGCTATGGTGGATAGGACTATGGATCAATGTCGATGACTTCAGGTGATGCCCTCCAACCAAAGGCCTCTCATGGAGCCACGTAAGTGACCCTACCTTATGCTACTTATCCTCAACTGAGGGGCAATTAGTTGCCTCATGTTGTGCCACTATCATGTTCCCATTGAGCCCCTTGATCAATGTCCAATGAAGCACGATATAAGTCGTAATGTTTGTGTTGCTATCATCATCATGACTACGTAGCATGCCCATATTGTTCTTATGGTTCTAGTCTGTATTAGCCTTCTTTTTAATCCAAGTTGATTGAAATTTTCTTTTGATCAATAGTGGAACCTTGGTGTATTTTGTACATTTTGTGACATTGGGATTCTTGCTTGCAAAATTTTGCTTCAACCTAACCGATGTAATCCCTACATAGCATGCCAATGATGGTGGATCTCCAAACGATGAGGACTTATCACCTTATTGTTGTTTTGGGACCATTTTCCTACAAAAAATTATTAATATAATAAGTTGTGGTTAAGCCTAAATTATGGGTAATGACCAAGGTTTTTAATTCGAATAATACTACTCGGTACGGGCGGTATGTACTGGTCTGACAGCATACCGGTACGCGGACTGCCTGCTATCGAGCGAAACGCTCAATATTGCCTTGTATTGGACAATACGGGGGTATATCGGATGGTAATGGTCAAAATTTCGACCGTTACCACCCGACACAGCTCGGTAACGATCGATTTCGACCGTTACCGATCTGTAACAGTGCTCCAATATTGGAGCCCTTTCTCATGGGTTTTTAAACTCATCTTCTCCTATATTTCACTCTATTTCACTCTCACTCTCTTAAACTACCTCAAACTCATATTTTCTCATATTTACACTCTCCTAAACTCTACAAAGCAACGATTTGTGAATTGACAATTCAAATAATTTTTCTGTAGATATTTCAATATTTACAGAAGCGCAATCCGTAACGGATTAAAATATAAACCTTGGACAAGGCTATTCCTCAAAGTCCGAAAAAGATTTGTGATACTATTCTTACCTAATTTACATTGGTTTTGCTAAACTTAAACTATTACTATATTTATTTCTAACTTAAAAATCCTATCATAACTTTTTTTTTATTTTCAGGTATTTTCGGAGGATTTTATGCCTAAATTAGGTGTACTGCTCGGTACGCCCTGACGTACCGCTCGATATGGCCTGACGTACCGCTCGGTACGCCCTGACGTACCGCTCGGTACGCCTTGATGTACCGCTCGGTACACAGTATACTGTACCGTACCGAGTGAAGCTCAAAACTCTGGTACAGTACGGAATTTCAATGATAATAACCCTAAGTAGATCCAAAAGTAAGAAAATAAGATTAATTGGTCGTACTTAGACTTTAATCATATTAAATACATGAAGAAACCCTTAACCAATCAATTCATAAACTGTGATTATACCTAAATTATAGATAATGACCATAACTGTGGTCTAAAAGTAAAAATTGAGACTGGTTAGATCTAATTAGACTTTAATCATATTAAATACGTGGAAAGATCCTTAATCAACCTATCTATTTATATTCAAACAACTAATAAGATGCTGTGATTAAGACTAAATTATGGTTAATGACCCCTAAGTTGTGTCTAAAAGTATGAAAATTAATATTAATCACCTCTGGTTACACTTTAATCATATAAAATACAAGTAATGATCCTTAATCAACAATTAAATTTATAATAAAACAATTAGCAAGAAGCTGTGATTAATCCTAAATTATGGTTAATGACCCATAATTGGGTCTAAAGATATGAAGAATAACACTAATTGCCTCTAATTATGCTTTAATCATATTAAATACAAGAAAGGAACTTTAATCAACAACTAGATTTATAATGAAACAACTCATTACAAGTTGTGATTAGGCCTAATTATCCCTAATTTGGGCTAAAAGTAAGCTAATGGTCATAATTGGTGCCTAAACGTAAGAGAAACACACTAATTCACTTAACAAGTTGTGATTAGACCTAATTATCTCCAATTCGAGCATAAAAGTAAGACAATGGACCTAATTGAGCCTAAAATTAAGAGAGGCACACTAATCACACTTAACATGCTATGATTAGGTATAGTTATCCCTAATAAAAGTAAGCTAATGGTCCTTATTGTGCCTAAACTTTAAAGAAAGATACTAATCACCATTAACTAGTTGTGATTGGACCAAATTAACATTAATTTGGACCTAAAAGCATGATAATGAACCTATTGTCTAATCATAAGAGAAATGCATCAGTCAGTAATTCATAATTATGAAATAATAAGCATTCAATTATGTCAAAAAATAACTAAAAGATGGAAAGAACATAAATACCTATAATATAAGAGAATTTCCATCCAATCCTGCATTTAAAGCCCTCTGATTGAATCTTTTGATGAGCTCTAATCACCGAATTAGGATCTTTAATTGAGAAAGGAAGTGAGAGTGAGAAAGAGAGGGAGAAAGAGAGTGAGGGTGAGTGAAAGAGGGGGAGAGAGGGGCTTTAAAAGGGGTGAACCAAGTCAATTTAATCGTGGGAACCCCTGATTTGATTGGATTGAAGCGTACCATCGAAATTTGATTGGCATTGGCCGATCCAAGTTGGCCCCCCTTGCTCGTCTGAAATGGAGTGATTCACATATTGGTCATTGAGCGAACTGGTTAGTCTCGCCTCTGCCCATTTTGTATTGTTTTGGACAGTATGGTAGCCCTTGCTTTTACATGCCAAACAACATTGAGTGAGAATATTTACTTTAAAAGAAATAATAATAAACATAAAAAGAGGATAGATTAGGAAATAGCAAAAATAAGAACCAAAACTCACATCATTAAGCAATTTACGACATGAAGACATTTCTCCTTTATTTATATAATCTTTATTTTGAATGTTGAGTAGGCTCATTATAGTTTTATATAAACATCATCATATCACTTGAGTACTTGAATTATGGTGAGTTGACCACATCAGTTGGCAAATTTGGTTTTCAAACTTCTGGAAAGACAAAACATGCTTGCATCGACAGTCATAATGCCTCCTGGTTGTGCTTAGAGAACTCTTGAGTTGTTGTATTTGTCCTTTAGAGATCAAGATCTCATGTAATACTTTCAAGTGGCACATGAAAGCTATGGCAAGCTAGATCTTTATGTCTATGAAAAGGTTGAAGTCAAAATCTTTAAAGTTATGCAGGATATTTCAATATTTAGGGGATAAATGCATAGTTTCAGATATTTGAAGGGACACTTCCCTGACCGAAACCATCATAAGGTGTCACCAGTTCGGTCAATTCAACTATTGTCCATACCAGGCATCTAACTCTTGTATGGTAACCATAGACCATTCATACTTCATAATAAAACTGACATTAATTCACATCATTACCATTGATCTTTTTGCCGTAGTCCTTTATGCAGGTGCTGCTATTAGAACCAAGCATTGCAGCACCGAAACTTGATCCAAGGACTTTTTAGCAAATCATCTTTTGAACTTTTTACTCTTGCAGGAAACACTTCCGCGGTTATCCCCTCGTCTCACGGTGGAGCTTATTCAGAAAAAAATCGCCGCTGCATTTGAAAACTGAGAAATTTTCTCTGTTCCTTGGAGGTTGTGACCCGTATACAAGAATGCACAAAGGGTGTCCAATTTGTTTGTCCTTGAATAATGCTTCTCAATTGCTGCTGTTATGTTGCTGTTATGCTTATCTACTTTTGGATTTTGTGTAATTGGTAGGCTGTCAATGTTCGTCTTTTGTTTGTTTGTTTGTTTTTTTTTTTTGCTGTATAGCGCATGAAATTTTCTCATTTTATTTCTTATTTACAGACCAAAGATAATAATACTTCCGAAACAGCTTTGTAGATCTATTTTCTTCAGGATTAACTAACCACGTGCATGTAACCAGAAAAAGAGAGAGATATATCTATTATGGTACGTTACATTTACAAAATAGTAATACTATATGCACTTTGTCAGTGGTGGTTAGGCATAGATGCAGAAGGTTTAATACTACAGTGTATAATGTTTGTAAAGGTCTAATATCATAGCTAGAGGAAACCAACTCAATACTCTCAGATCTCTGCGCTGAAAGGGTGCCAACTATAGATACGTAGCAGAACACAAGCAAGCAGTTTCCAGTGTTAATATGTAAACGCATTAATATGTGAGAAGTGTTCTTATGATACTTCCAAACTGTGACAATGTTGCTTATAGCGAGCAAATGGATCAATCTGACATGCATTAGGTGTATCACATTATACACATTTCCATAGCTCAGGAGCAAAGACAAAATGGGGGTATTCTAGTCAAAAACAGGCTCATTCTAACTTCAACAAGTGCTCCAGCCCTGATTAAAGGGAAAAAGAGACTAGCCACCTTTCCAGCTACAACATGGTAATAATATGGTTTCTCTTACATACATTCTTGTTAAGATAACTCATTTCCCCCACCCTTCCAATGTCCTTGCATATGGCAGGGAACCATTCACTTCAACCCACAAACTAGATTAGCAACAAAATTGTTTCCGATGGAAGCTGCCACAAGCGTTCTCCATCCAAACTCAGGCATTGCCGATGCTCCAAATACGAGCAGTCAAACTCAAGCTGCTTGAACCACTGATATATTCGTACTAGAAAGCATCAACGTAGCCTTCGTACAACTGTTTTTATGTGATCTTTATCGTGTTTTAGAAATATGATAAAAAAATATAAATACTTCACTTCATAAAAATATTATAACTAAATATTTTTATCATTTTTTAATAATCGATGAAAATGATGTCATAGTACAATTGTGTATATGAAATTTAGTATAATAAATATAAGAATTATTGAAATATTACTTATACAGTGTTTTTATGTGATCTTTATAGTGTTTTAGAAATACAAATGAAGACACTGTAAACACTACTTTAAAATAGTTTAATGAAGTATTTTTATTATTTTTTAAATCCATGATGCAAATTATGTCCTAGTACAATTATGCATATGGACTGTAGTTAATGAATGTAACAATTATTGAAATATTATATAAAAAATATTTTTATATTATCTTTACAGTGTCTTAGAAATACGAATGAAAACATTATAAACAATTCATAAAAATATGTTAAAAAATATTTTTATCATTTTTTACAAACATGCTAGAGTATATGCTATCGCCGAATATGATTCTAGAGCTTATAAGTTAGTGATTGAAGGTATTATTTATGTTTCTAATAGAAATATAAAAGTTTTGTTCGACTTTGGTTTCAATATATTTTTTGTTTCATAATATTTATTTTACTATCTGGGTGTTTAACCTAGACCATTGGATTTTATGCTATATGCAATTACTATTGTTGAGAATTCTTTGACAACAAACTTGATCTATAAATTGTTATACAAAAGTGATCACTTTTTGCATACTAGATTAGTCCACATTTCATTTTGAGAGTATTAGGCATGATTCACCTCCTTGCCTAATATCGATACTTCAAGCTCATCACCTTATGGAAAAGGGTTATTTTTGTTATATGGTATATGTAAAGGAGTATTCAAATCAAGAACCTAATCTAACGAAATCTTTATGGTCAGGGAGTTTCTTGATGTATTTTTGGATGACTTACCCGGATTACCTCTGGATAGGAAAGGTAAATTTGCTATTGATTTGGTTATCAGAATAACCATAATATCTAAGCCTCCATATAGAATGGTACTACTCGAGTTCATGGAGTTAAAAAAGTAACTATAAGAACTATTAGACAAGAGTTTCATTCGACCTAGTGTCTCACCATGGGGTGCTCTGATGCTGTTAGTTAAATCGAAGAATGGAATATTGAGGCTTTGTATTAATTATAAATAGTTGAATCAGGTGACCACAAAAAATAAGTATCCTTTACCAAGAATTAATGATTTATTTGATCAATTATAGGGTGCACAAATCTTTTCCAAGATTGACCTAAGGTTTGGTTATTCACAATTAAAGATTAAGAAGGAGGATATCTTAAAAACAGTTTTTAGAACTCAATATGGTCACTATAAATTCTTGGTAATACCTTTTGGCTTGACTAATGTCCTTGTAGCTTTTATATATATAATAAATAGGATATTTCAATCACTCTTAGATGACAATGTAATTATATTTATTAATGATATATTAGTGTAATCGAGGAGTGACCAGGAGGAAAAATACGTAAGAAATGTATTGTCAATATTAAGAGAAAAAAAGTTATATGCAAAGTTCAACAAATACAAGTTTTGGTTGAATTAAATTACCTTTTTAGGCCATATGATTTCAGGGGGTCATTTATGTTGATCCAAAGAAAGTGAAAGAAGTAGTTAAATGGAAAGACTAATAAATGTGACAAAAGTTAGAAGTTTCTAAGTTATGGTAGGTTACTATAAGAGATTTGTGGAGGGATTCTATTAAATTGCAAGTCCTTTCACTAAGCTAATCCAAAAAAATATGAATTTTGAATGGGTAAATATTGTGAGGGAAGTTTTTAAGAGTTAAAAGGAAGATTTGTTAGGACTGAGTCGGCACTAAGGGGGTGAGGGGGGTGAATTAGTGCTTACGAAAAAATCACATCGGCACTAAGGGGGTGAGGGGGGTGAATTAGTGCTTACGAAAAAATCACATCGATTTTGAAAAATTACGTTCGATGAAAAATGATATAGGAAAGATGTTAACTTGAAAACATGTTTGTAAGCATAGTGGAAGTAAGAAATCAGTTTGCAATGAAAATAAAATACTCAAAGTAAATGCAAATCAGATTTATAGTGGTTCGATCGTTGTGACCTACATCTACTCCCGATTCCTCTTCACTCAAGGCCACCGGCTTCTGCTACCAATCTTCCTTTAATGGGCAAAGATCAACTACCCTTTTACACTCTTTCTCCTTTTGACCTCACTTCTCCCTTTAGATGAACTTCTAAATACTAGGAAGAAGTGATTCTATACTGTAAGAGAGATTACAACATTTCTTTCTCAAGAATATTTTCCCCCTTTCTACTCAATTCGTTCTTTGCTAAGCAGAAATATATGGGGTATTTATAGACCTCAAATGACTTCAAAAATGGAGCTAAAAAAGGTCTCATCCCGGGTCCTAGTGGTACCACCGCTTATGCTGGGTGGTACTACCGCCTATAGCACTGACTTTGGGCGGTACCACTATCCAAACTGGCGGTACCACCGCTTGACACTATTTGGAAGACTGTGTCTAGGTAGTAGTGGTACCATCGCTTGATATTGGGCGGTACCATCGCCCATTCTGGCTGTACTACTACCTAACACAGTATCGGAGACTATGTCTTGGAGACTAAGCCTCTAGTGGCGCCACCACTTGACCTAACTTTTGTTAGGATCGGAGCGACACTAAGAGGGGGGGGGGGTGAATTAGTGCAGCGGATTAAAACTTGTAAGTTTGAAAATGATTTCATAAATGCATAGAGATTTCGATTCGACAAAGAATGACTTGGTAAAAGTAGCTCGAGTAAAGTAAGGAGATGAAAACCAAAAGCTTGCTGCTATGTAAATAATGGTTTCAGAAAAGTAAACGCTCACACATTCAAGGAACACACCAATTTAAAGTGGTTCGATCAAATGACCTGCATCCACTTGCGAAGCCTTCTTCGATGAGGCTCTCAACTTCCACTAGCAAATCACTTTGAAGGGGAAGGACATATACCCCTCTTACAACCTTTTACAAGTGGTTCACACTCTTACAGATTTTTAAAGAGAAAGAGGGAGGTGAACACTTAAGCTATTGAAAACAAGACTTGCTAAAGACTTTGCTAAGGCTTTATCTCAATCTCTAACTTCTCAAAGGTTGTATTCTCTGTTGAGAATTGAGGGGTATTTATAGGCCCCAAGAGGATTCAAATTTAGGCTCAAAATTTGAATTGCTTTTGGGTTTTTCGGTGCCGGCAGTGCCACCGTCTGTTAGTGTCTGACACTGATAGTGTACTAGCGGTGCCACCGTCGGAACTCTCGGGTTCTGGGCGGTGCCACCGCTCAATCCGGTCGGGTGTTAGGTGGTGCCACCGCCTAGTCCGATGGTACCACCGCCTGACCTTTCGGGGTTCTAGACGGTGCCACCACTCAGTCCTGTGGTGCCACCGCCCGACCTTACGGATCACTGGTTGGGCTCCTAATTTGGCCCAAACCAGTCTGTATTAGGGCCCAGTTGGCCCTTTACTAGATTATAGGATTAACCCTTAATCTTAACCCGAATTACTTGCAAACTATGAAATTAAGACATAATCCAGCAACGTCGAGTTTCCTTCTAGCGAGCTTTTCGACGAACTTCCGGCGGACTTTCGATACACCCTCGGATTTCTTCCGGCGGACTCCCAGTAGGCTCCCGGTCTTGTGGCGAGTTCAGCGAGTCTTTGGCAAGTAGCTGAACCTTCTCGGTGATCTCCTCGAACCTCCGACGATCTCTCCGGCAGACTTCCGAAAACTTTGACAAATCCCCGATTTCTTCTCGGTTGGTTCTAGCAGCACTTCCGACGAATCTTCGAACTCTCGGCGAACTCTCGAACACCCATCGAATCTTGACACTAGTAGACTTTGCTTTATGTCTTCAATATATCGTAGTTAATCCTGCACACTTATCTCAATAATATGGATTAGATCAATTAACCCATCAATTGATTTCATCATCAAAATCCGAGATTCAACAATCTTCCCCTTTTTAATGATGACAATCAATTGATGATGGAGTTAAACATAACTCCCCTTATCTAAATGCTATATAATGAGAAAATCAAAACACTTGAATTCAATCTCTTTGAATTTAAGCCTAAACCGATAAGTTCTATTCGTTAAACTTATCGTTATTCTCAATAAGCATGAGCAAATACGAAACTTCGTATTTCTCATAA